GGAAGTTCATCAGTCCCCGGATGTTCTTCAATAAAGATAAACAGACAGATCAGATAGATATATTAGTGATGACGAAGCGTATTTTAATGATTAATAAGTTCTGAGGTTGATAGTCATGTTTTTTATTACCTTGTGGACATTTTTTGTTGATCTCTTCAAAAGTAGTTAAGGAATGAAAAGATACTATAAAACTCGTATAGCCATCTTCAAAGCCGTTTTCTACAAATGGCAGATCGCCAGCTACAGTTACATGTAGCAGTAACGGTAACGTTAATATTAACGTTGATCAATTAGTTTCTGAAATACCAATTGAAAAGAAAAAACAAACATTTAATTGTTCCTGTTTGAATCAATGTTTTCCAAGTTTCAGTATCAGTAGACTTGATTTCAAGTTTTGTTTTTGAAAAACCGGTGAATAGTAAACCGTATCGACATTGAATGCATAACCTTATCTCTTTCTTGATCAAATCAAATGATACATCATATTCACAAGTCTCTGACGACATCTTCCAGTAATCCTTGGTCGTATGCAATTTAGACCTGTTATTGAGAGAGAATTCCAAATATCCTTTTCTGCTCATTCCTTTGCTGCCAACATAAATTAAATGCTTAAAACACACGACTAATTGAATTATAACTTTCTTAGTAACTTTATTCTTACCAAGTAATGTTTTTCAATAATAATACACCTCTTATTTTGTCATTTAACAGAGATTCGTCGTGCAAGTTTAGGTCAGCATCTTTTGGTGGATTCTATGACATTTGATTTAATATTAATTATTAATTCTATATTAGTAAAGAACATTCAAAATTTTTCTTACCCCAGAGAGAAAATAAATATAGAAATATATTTTTCCGACATAGCCTCGATGTTTAAACAATTCTGTGCTCACTATCGTTAGAATCAATAAAGTATCGTAGGATAAGGTACAACCACACACATTGTTCGTAAATGTATTTAATAGATAATTTACCTTTTTCTTTTTGACCTTTGTAAGAACTTAATTTTATTTCAGCTTCCCCAAATAATCCATCATCACCTTTTTTACTCATATCGTAGCATTTTACATGCAGATTGTCTTTTATCGGAGGTGATAATTCAAAGGTCAAGTGTTCAGACCAAACAGTCCCCTTCTTATTATTATTAAAATATAAAATTGAATATTGATATACGTAACGATAATACTTTTTATCGTTATTCAATAATTATCAATCTACTTGCGATTTAGTTTCCGTCGTTATGTTATCTATACTAAATACCAACTTTGCTCTAGGACTTGAGCTAAACGATAAATTTTTGCTTTTATTCTGTAATCCACTAGATTATCAGCAAAAATTAACGTTAATTTAAATAATCAATAATGATAAGTTTGAAAAGATGGTTGTTTATTCAAAAACCTGATTTGTATGTCTTTTATGAGCAAAATCGAATTCGTAACGGACGATAATCCATTTTGACTATGAACTGTATTCGCATTTAGACGAGAACATGACATAGCGAATTATGAATTAATACTTCAAAGTTTAAGTCTTTATTAGCAAATTATGAGCAAAAGATATTAGCTTTTTTCTTGGTACTATTTATTTGGGTGAGAATGATAATGATAATGTATTACGTACGAATTCATTTTTGCTCTTGTGTCTGCAAATGTTTGACAAATAACCAAAAATGATAAGATAAAGATACTTTCACTGATATACGTACGTACATGTGGCATCAAGTGTTGCGCTACACAGTCAAATTTTAGGTACAGTATATAATTATTATATTTATAGTATAATTATGCTTATATGATCTTCCAACACCACAATAAGCACGAATACGTAAATAAATCCGACACAAAGAAAATGAAATATGGAAAACAGATGCTAATAAAAAATGTCGGAGAAATAATTTTACATAAAACAACCTTTTGCTCAAAAAAAATACTACAACAGACCGGCAAAATCAGATCATGTGTTTGCCGCTAAACACAGTGGTGCAAGAAAAACAATCCACCCACTGTAGGAAAATGCAAAACAAACTACGTACATATACATGTAGCTTTTATTTGCATCTTAAATCATGAAACTATCTAATAAAAAATGTTTCTCACGAAATTTTACCTTAAAATACCGGGTTACCAATAAAGTCATTAAATGGCTAGGTGATCTAATGATTAAAGAAAATTACAAGCTACGATTTTTTTCATTTTATTAGATAAAAGTTTTCTGTATATTAAGCATTTTTTGCTTCCTCAATTATTTTTTATTCCATTTTCAATAATAAAATAGCAAACTATCAAAATATGAACCATAATGTGGAGTAATTGTAATTCTAGGAAAATAATCGTTAACAGGCTTCTGCACTACATTATGAGATCTAAGAAACAAAAATTAAATAATGAACAGCCTGGGTTTCCCATACAGATCAGGATGTTACTCTGAAGGGGAAATTTGTTTACGATAACGACTTTTGAAGAATGGGATTGAATTCGATTCTATTAGAAGCTATTCTAATAGAAACTAGAAAGGTTTTCTATCCTGAAGGCCAGAATTTATTAATAGTTTCTATTTTATATAGCTTCTATTTTTGACAGATTGAAACAACCAAATTCTTGCACATCTTTCGATTAAAGAAACCACGCCACTCACGCCATTAACAACCCTAGACTTATTCTCCCTATTTGGCTTTTATTTGTGCTTTAATGTAAGATGATTTCAAGAAAATCTATGAAGAATCTTCTACATATACAGTAATATTTTTATTTTATAGTGTAAAGTTTGTTCACACTTATATGAGAAGATTTTATTTAATTCGTGATCCGTGTGGGAACCAGTGAAAATTTTGGGATAGCAATTTATTCTATCTAAAGATTCTGGAAAGGCAAAAAAACTATAACGATAATAATTTATCTCCAAAATTAATAGTAAATTTTAGCGGATCATGAATTAAGCTAATCATACAGAACTTAACGTTAACGTTAAGAGATTACGACCACAATTATCGTGGGAATAGCGATAACAACTATACTTTTTTCCAAATTATTTTGTATATTTAATAAAAAAATATATATTGAAAGAAATATCGATTCTTAGATCAATCAAATGTGGAGTGGAGTGAACTGGATTCATATTATAGTGGAGCAAGGGGTCAATTAAATTGAAACCACTCCGGTTTCATTGTTGCTCCAATACTGCTCCAGCTACTCCGGAGTACTTATAAAAGTCATATGTAATAAATTTGATTGGATAAAAGCTATTTATTAATGATTCTAAAAAAACAAAGCTTCGTACTCATATTTCGAAAATAAAAATAAACTATTTATAATACATGATTCTAAAAGAATAGAAACTTCAATATCGATTTCTTTTATATTTTTGTCACGTACTTGCTGAATCCAACTTTTCAAACACATTACTGCACGTGCTGTATCTGGTTTTAAGTTGCATCGAATTTTGGTTATTGTATTTGCTGCCATAGAAATTGCCTGTTCTGAGAGTACACTTGAACCTTGTATACTTAAATAACAGGATGCTATATTTGCAAGAACTGGAAAATCTCCCTTATAACGGCTCCACCAATCTAATGGATCTGAATTAGAGTCAATTGGTGTTGTAATGTATCGAGTAATTTCATCTTCAGCAGATATTTCTTTAGTAGTTTGCTCCATAAGAAGTGATTCAAAAAAATCATTTGTTGTCTCATAATTGTAAATTTATAGGAATTATTATTGTATTTTGGTTTAGTGATGTCATTTTTGTAAAATGTCATAAGCTTTTGCAATATCAATATAGTCTTATTATGTTGATTAATATCCACAAAAGTTTTAGTTTTTGAACATGAATCTAATAAAGTGCCAATTTTATATAATTCCAATATTCTTTTAATTTAAAATTAATTGAATTTACTATTATACATTCTTATAAATCAACATGAACTTGAATAAAGATTCCAAATGCTGAAGCAAACTGATAATAGCTAATCTTACATTACTTATTGTAGAATATGTAGAAGATGATAATACTTCAGTTGCAATAAAAATTAGTTTAAGTAATTGAATCATATTATTATTTGTGTTCAATCATTTTCTTGTAAATAAATGCTAGTAAACTCCTGATTTTTAGCAATGAGAATATTCGAAATATTATGCATATGATGAACTTTTTAATATTAAATAAGTACTATTCCATTGAGTCTCAACATATAAATCAGGTTTTATTTCAGCAATACTTTCAAGTTTGCATATTGAATCACATAACTTTGTTGATTGATGTATCTTTACTACAAATGCATGTACTTTCATTATAGTAGATGTCACTAATTATAATTCATATTGTACAGCAATATTAAGTCATGTATATGTGCTGAACAATATTGATGAATAAATTCAGTATTTTCCAATTTTTCTTTAAGTTTCCGAGCTGCAACTATCATGAATGCTGCATTATCTATTGTAATTTCTAATAAAATTTTAGTAATCTTATTCTTTTCTAGCAGTATGTTGTCCAGGAAAGTAATAAAGATCAAGCAAAAAGTGACATAAATTTCATTCTTTATCAATGAAGTGAACTGTCATGCCAAGATATGATTGCATAGTAATTGAAGTCCAAATATCACATGTAATTGATACTTTTTTAGTTTTTTCAATCTCTTTTAATATTTTATCATGCATATCATAATGATCTATTATTTCATTTTTTATAGTTTGACAGCAAGATACTTGATAACATTCATCAAATATATTTAACATAGTAACAAAATAAGGATTATCTACGATTGCAAAGGGAAGTTGACAACAAACAATGAAATCTACGATTGTATTTGTAAGTTGTTGGTATCATTTATCTGTTTTTAAATATGGCTTGCTTTTATGTTTATCTGTAGTATTTTGCGAATTATTAATTTTGTCAGTATTTTTTATACAAATGTTTGGCGAGTGTACCTGAGGAATTTGAAGATTTGTAATGAGCTTTGCAAATTGAGCAAACGAAGCTTGTAACTTCATTTTATCATTAAATTGCTTGAAAAAAATTCCCAGACCCAAGAAGTTTCACGTGAAATTATTGAAGCTGAACTATCACTTTCATCTTTACTTGTTGATCTTGCAGTATGTTTTGTTAACGTTGTTTCTTCTATAGTATCTTCAGACTCATTCTCAGTAGGTTCATTATCTAATAAATCTTGTTCATTTAAAGTAGATATTTTACGTTTATGAGACATTTTAATAAAGTTATAAAAAAATTGCATGACTTTAAATCAACTAAAACACGCATTGATAAATAAATTTGTTAATAA